CCCTTAAACTTAATGAAGCAATTGAACTGATTATCCCAGGCGGAAGTTCGTAACATGCATTACGGGCAGTTATCTCCTCGTGAGTAGATTCCATTTCCCATCATTGAGCTATGAGATTTTTGACGAAATAAATAGATATACTTCTTAGAAAGTAACTTCTAGTGAAAATAAAAAGTAAAGTACCTCCCTCCCCACAATCACACACAAGCCCACACAAAAACACACACAAGACCACACAGTCCCACCATATCACCCATTATTAAGTAGACAGTTTTTATGTCATATTTCCCCCGTGCTGTGAACTCTAGCAAACGCTGCGTTAGTATTGGGCGTGGCTTATTTCCTTTGATCTTGTTTACCACAAACCAATCTACTGCCTGTATTCTTGATTCGAATACGGTAGAAAATAGTAGTAAATTGTAGAATTTTTGAGTCACTAATACAATGCGTAATACGCCTGGAATTTTCTGTATAACAGACTATAAAAAGCAGAGAGAGAGAGAGAGCATTATTTTTAACGGACGATAACATTTTATCTTTACGGGACGACAGGATGGTATTTATTTTTAGAGTGTGTTATTCTTGATAGAGCTGTGTTTACTTATAAGTGTGAATTCCTTCCATCGTTGTACTATTGTTTGGCACATTGTAATTTTCATCCTCTTTTGTAGCGGTACAAGAAACACAATACTCTGTAAGTTTCTGTAAGTTAATGATTTTTAATTATATTTCTTTTATTTTGTAATTTGTTAGTAACTTTAAAAAACTTATTAATTGCAGTTAGCACTGTTTTGAGTGCCATGTTCTCTGTTAAAGCTTTTATGATTTGGTCTTGTTATGCACTTTTTTGGAACGAGCCTTTCATGAAAATAGGAGATTAATTTCTCCCTACGGATGACAGTGCGTAACAGCCATATACATTGCAATTTTTTTTTTAAAAGTTCAATTGCGTGTTTATTTACTTGTAAGACTACTTTGTCTTTTATTTGACGCCTTTCTTCTCTAGGCAGTTGCGTCTGGGGACTGGTCAGAGCAGAAGCATTCACCTGACACCACCAACGAACCAGTTCTAGGAAGCATTTGTTTAAAATTATAATAATATTAATATATCCTACCTAAGATATGTATATACCAAAGAGGGTTAATTATTTATCCAATCCATTCCTTTATTTTGAGACTTATCTTGTGCTGCCTGGGGCGAAGTGAACAATCCCTCCCAACCCAGATTTAAATAAATTTAGAAAATCTTTCACCGGATTGTAGTCCTTTCCATGCCCATACTAACATATTTTGCACTTCATATGGTTCGTTCTTATTTGTATGAGGTATAAGTGGATTAGTGAATGCTATTTAGCTATGAAAGTGCGCTGCACTGATTGGCTTAAACTGCATTTTCTTATTAGAGTTATATTTAAAGGTTAGAATTTATTACGTTATAATTTTAATTAAAGTATATTTTTGGAATAAAAAGGTAAAAGTTTTTTAAATGTTAAAATATTCAAAGCTAAAATGTGTGTGTGTTTTATTAACAATTCAAAAAGCAATCAATTGTATTTATTAAGTGTACTTTTAAAAGGGAAAATACATTATCAGTTTTGTCAAGCACGGTTATTAAATTTAAAGAAACCTAAGAGTTTTGGCAAAATAGGCTATTCACGCTATGACGTCATTGGCGTGATTATTGAGAACAAATTAATTTGAATTTTATTTCGCAATATTAACAACGCACTAAAAGACGCACTAAAAACGACTGATCTTTGGGTTTTCCTGATAAATGTGATTACGGTGTAATTCTTTAAGCATGATTTTTTTTCCCATAACTTTCAAACACATATAAAATGCTTAAAATAGTTCCTTAGTTGATACTTTAAATGTATTTGTAATTTATAATAATATTATTTAAACTTTTACTAAAATAAAAGAGGATTTAAAATATTTTTTTGCACATTTAAATTTATTCGATTTCCGTAAAATAATAGAAAATAACTATGATTGTTTTTAGGAATCCGAACGTACTTAAAAAGTTCTCCCTTTTGGCGTTATGTGAACCTAGCTCATTCTTATATATATTATAATTCTTTAGTTATGTATATAACTATGCATGTATGTATGGCTGTATGGCTGTAATGATGTCTTCAACAGACGCACACATATAAAATTCCCACAAGTTAGAACTAATTGAGATTCTTATCAAGGGCGTCGCTTGAATGCATGTTGAGTCAAGTCAATTTATGAGATGGGACATTCACGCATTTCCGTCGCCATTGTTTGGCGGGCTATTTCTATTTTTTTTAAATTAGTGACTAGCTTGTTCGGTCTCGCCACAGTCAAAGGCGTTTCCTCTCATCATGCAAGGATAAATTTTAAATCGAATGACACTTTTTCTGTATTATATAGGGATTTTATAAACTTTTTAAATTTAAAATCATGAGCGAATGAACCAACTGATTAACTTTGTTTCTACAAAGTTTCACTACCCTTTCAAGTCACACTCCATCTTTTACAAAGTTTCAATACGCTTTCAAGTCACACTCCATCTTTTACAAAGTTTCAATACCCTTTCAAGTCACACTCCATCTTTTACAAAGTTTCAATACCCTTTCAAGTCAAACGCCATCTTTTACAAAGTTTCAATACCCTTTCAAGTCACACCCTATCTTTTACAAAGTTTCAATACCCTTTCAAGTCAAACCCCATCTTTTACAAAGTTTCACTACCCTTTCAAGTCAAACCCCATCTTTTACAAAGTTTCAATACCCTTTCAAGTCACACTCCATCTTTTACAAAGTTTCACTACCCTTTCAAGTAACACTCCATCTTTTACAAAGTTTCAATACCCTTTCAAGTCACACTCCATCTTTTACAAAGTTTCAATACCCTTTCAAGTCACACCGCATCTTTTACAAAGTTTCAATACCCTTTCAAGTCAAACCCCATCTTTTACAAAGTTTCACTACCCTTTCTAGTCACACTCCATCTTTTACAAAGTTTCACTACCCTTTCAAGTCACACCCCATCTTTTACAAAGTTTCAATACCCTTTCAAGTCACACTCCATCTTTTACAAAGTTTCAATACCCTTTCAAGTCACACTCCATCTTTTACAAAGTTTCAATACCCTTTCAAGTCACACTCCATCTTTTACAAAGTTTCAATACCCTTTCAAGTCACACTCCATCTTTTACAAAGTTTCAATACCCTTTCAAGTCACACCCCATCTTTTACAAAGTTTCAATACCCTTTCAAGTCACACTCCATCTTTTACAAAGTTTCAATACCCTTTCAAGTCACACTCCATCTTTTACAAAGTTTCAATACCCTTTCAAGTCACACTCCATCTTTTACAAAGTTTCAATACCCTTTCAAGTCACACTCCATCTTTTACAAAGTTTCAATACCCTTTCAAGTCACACCCCATCTTTTACAAAGTTTCAATACCCTTTCAAGTCACACCCCATCTTTTACAAAGTTTCAATACCCTTTCAAGTCACACTCCATCTTTTACAAAGTTTCAATACCCTTTCAAGTCACACCCCATCTTTTACAAAGTTTCAATACCCTTTCAAGTCACACTCCATCTTTTACAAAGTTTCACTACCCTTTCAAGTCACACCCCATCTTTTACAAAGTTTCAATACCCTTTCAAGTCACACTCCATCTTATACAAAGTTTCAATACCCTTTCAAGTCACACTCCATCTTTTACAAAGTTTCAATACCCTTTCAAGTCACACCCCATCTTTTACAAAGTTTCACTACCCTTTCAAGTCACACTCCATCTTTTACAAAGTTGCAATACCCTTTCAAGTCACACCCCATCTTTTACAAAGTTTCAATACCCTTTCATGTCACACCCCATCTTTTACAAAGTTTCAATACCCTTTCAAGTCACACCCCATCTTTTACAAAGTTTCAATACCCTTTCAAGTCACACTCCATCTTTTACAAAGTTTCAATACCCTTTCAAGTCACACCCCATCTTTTCCCCTGAACCACTGCAGCAATTGTTACTTTAAGCATATATAATCTATGCATTTCATTGAAATCAATTCTCCATTAGGACAATAATTAACTCATGTTTCAATTTTCTGTAAAAACAACCTACAAACAAAGTTGTTCTGATAAACTCTTTATACAATGTGATGACGAGCCGTGAGCTTGAAGCTGAAAATTTGACGAAACATTTAATACATAAAAAATCACTTTATATGATTCCCAATTAGTGTTCCCCCTCCCCACCCCCACCCCCCCACCCCCAAGGCTCGCAACCGCCCAATTTTCCACACCCGTGAACTAACTAATTTGTAATGCCCCACCCGCTGCTTGTACACCGCAGATGTCTTTCACCAACTATTTCAGAAAAAACAAAAGAAAGCTCACCAAAAGCACTTGCGATCATTTTTTTTAAAAGAATCTCATTTAGCGCAGTTATCGGAAACTTTATTCGTAAAATCAGTGTCATCATATTCTCTTGATCTTCCCCTTGGGGAAAAACCCCCCAGAAAAACAGATTTTCAGGGGGGGGGGGTGGTGGGGGGTTAGGTGGCGGGGTTGAAAATGTGTGCAGAATGTGTTATCATCGGAAATGACTCTATGTTCCAAGTTTCAGTTCGAAAGTGGGTCAATTAGCCGTCAGAAAATTTTGCCAGCCAGCCACGAACAAAGGCGAAGTTATAAATGAAGGATTAAAAAAAAAAAAGAAAAAGAAAACTAAGAATTACGCCCGTTTTCTGTTCTTCTTTCTCAGCTGAAAGTATTGTGTTGGTAGAGGACTTCTTGGCCGCTCTTCTGCCTCACCTGTGACGTGGTTAACAATGCATGGCATGTTGGAAACATGAGACATTACAGGAAATATGTGAACTATTGAGGACGTGTTTCATGACATACATGAAATAGGACAATACAGAACATACATGAAAAATGAAAACTAATAGGACATATGTGTGACATCACAGGCAACGCTTCGATGAAGTGACAAGTCAATTGGACACGATGTGTTCATGTTTTAGATAGATTTATTACAAAAGGCGGTTAAAAAAAAACATTGTTAACAATACATCGCACTTTCTGATGCTGTCTGCTGTCTGCTGTCTGTTTAGTTAATGTCTTTTTTCTCTAGAAATCATCCATCCTAGCGACATTAAATAATGACCTGTGGAAATAAAAAAAAAATGGAGTTTAAATGGATAAAGTTAACTAACTGGTACAAGGTTGATAACCCAACTAAATAGACCCGACGCAAGAAATACAATTGTTATAGCCCTTTACGTGTTTGCGCTAATCAAATAGCCTACAATCCCATCACTCTGGGGCCCAGGGTTAGGGTGTATGGAATGGGTCAGCTGACAGGCAAGGCAGACACAGACGAGATGTCAACTTCTATAGGAAATGCTATTATTATTGTAACTACCACTTTCATTATTATCTTTATCGCAATTAATAAAATTAATAATAATAATAATTATGATTGACTTATGTTTAATTATTTATTACAGTTATGTTTTTTGTTTGTTACTTGTTTATATAACTACTGTATTTTTAAAAAATATTTTATTTCGTGCTTATTTTTTAAAATTATTATTATTTTAATATGTCCGCCATGATCATCATCGCTATTAATATCGTTAATAACTACGTCAATATATGTGTATAAAAAACACGTTATTATCAATGTGTGCAAAAAAAACTACGTCAATATATGTGTATAAAAAACACGTTATTATCAATGTGTGCAAAAAAAACTACGTCAATATATGTGTATAAAAACACGTTATTATCAATGTGTGCAAAAAAAAACTACGTCAATATATGTGTATAAAAAACTACGTCAATATATGTGTATAAAAAACTATGTCAATATATGTGTATAAAAAACTATGTCAATATATGTGTATAAAAAACACGTTATTATCAATGTGTGCAAAAAAAAACTACGTCAATATATGTGTATAAAAAACTACATCAATATATGTGTATAAAAAACTATGTCAATATATGTGTATAAAAAACTATGTCAATATATGTGTATAAAAAACTATGTCAATATCTCTATAGAAAAAAACTACGTCAATATTTGTGTGTGAAAAAAAACTACATTAATATCTATGTGTACAAAAAAGTGCTTAAATATGTAAATGTACACACACTTACGTAAATATCTTTATGCACCAATGACCAAAGTATATAGCAAATATGAAAAACTAAAATGAAAGTCAATTTTTTTAAGTACTTTGTTACTGCCCAGTCCTCAGCTTCTTGTTGTACGCGACCAGGTCAGGCTCTGCGTGTCTCAGGACGTTGGTCAGCTGCTTGGCCGAGCTGCACATGATGGTGACGTATTCGTTCAGGACGAACTTGACCTGCTCGGCCCGTTCCAGGCTGGCGAACCACTTGATCTTCTCCTGAACAAGGACGAACCATGGGCGAAGCATTTATACGATTATTATTATTATTATTATAGTGCCGCCTTCACAAAAACATTTTATTTTTAAAATCAAAGATCTTGTTAAATAGACAAACTTTAAAAACCTAAGTTTTTTGCATAAATCCTTCACAAAATGTCATATCGAGCTAAGGGGAGGGGCTGAAAATCTGACAAAACGTGCATACTACTAACGTTATAATGGAGATGGCGTCGGTTTGGGCGTCGGCGTGAGCTCTTAATACCCCTCCCGGCACACCCCGACACAAGTCGACGCCGGGTCTCCCCGTCGCCAGAACGTGCGGAAACTCGCCGGGAACCACCCCCCCCCCCACTGGCCTGGTGGACTTCCGGTCGACTGAAAACGCTGCGTTTAAAGCGTTCGCGGTCCACTCTCCTTGGGTCTGAACGGCTTTGCTTCCTCTCCGGGGGAAAGGTGTTGCGTTACCGCCCCCCCCCACCGTCCAGGGAGTTGTCCGGTGGGGACGTAAGTGGGGACGAAACGGTCGCCTACGAGCATACGTGCATACAAGTAACTCACTTTATAAGAATCCCAATTGGTACTTTACAAAAGTGTCGATTTAACTATTGTGGTGGTTACGGTTGGCAGGCCAGAGGCGTTTCTTTCGTTGATGAATACGCCCCACCCCCCATAGCAAAATGAAAACACCTTTGACTTAATTTATCATCTGTCTTGTTTTTATTAACTACTCTCAAATCCAATTAATTCATACCAGAAATCATCTTTTATAGTAACTTAACCACACAAAAAAAACAACAACAACAGCTTTGTATCAACTAAAGAGAGGCTCTATTTCGAAAACATGACGCTTTTTCTCATCATTAGTGGAGCTTTGCTTTGTACTGTAGTGGGAAAAGTAGGAAAACATGTATATATTTATAACATTAATTCATTAACTCTCTCTCTCGCCTATCCTGCAGGTGCGTCATTTCAGGGTTTTTCAGGGGTGGGCGAGGGCATATGCCACCTTGCCCTACTCTACCCAAATGACATCCCTGCTATCCTGGGAAGTTATCAAACAAGGCAAGCTTAATGGGATTTTTTTATTTTGGAGGGAGGTGGTGGCCTTGGGCAAAATGATGCATTGGGCCCCCCATTAGCTCTAATCTAGGCAAATAGCAGAAGAACTGCGTATAAATACATACGATAATCATTACGGAAAGCGAGCTCTGGCTATCATTAAATTTTATTTAGGTAAACTAAATTACTAGCATGACCACCTTCTTGCTGGGGGGGGGGGGGGGTCGGCCATGTATAAAACATATTAGTTATATAAGAAGGTTCTCTGGTGGAACATTGAAGTTTCTTCAGGGAAACTATACAAATAGTACATTACCTCTTTCTTACTGGAGTTGTTCATGTACTCTGCGATGCTAGAGTTGAACATGGCCAGTGTTCCATTGATACCGAAGTCCTCAATGTCAAGTGTGTCTGACAGTTGTGCGCTGTCATCGACCTCAAGGTCTGGGCTTCCAAACTGACCGGAAGCAATCCTGGACAAAACAGAACCAAAAAAAATAACATTATTTTAAAATGTCGTCATGGCAACGGACATCACTACTTTTTAAGCCATTAATGAATGAGTAAGTAACTATTTGAGCCATGAATGATCTGAGCCATTAATTATTTAAGCAAGTGGTCGTCAAACTACGACTCGTGGACCTGGGCGAGCCTGCCAGTAATCTTTTGCCCTGCCGTACGGGTACCCGGGTAGCAATGACAAATATAGAACCAGGAATTGAATTGACCCAGAAGTAGCCCATAATGGACATTTAAATACTAATTAGTTTATGTTAATTAAAATCCCTCTAAATTTCAAATAGCTAATAGTTACCCCTCGTTTTTGTTTTCTTTTTGCAACACAGATGAGATATGTTCAGAAATGAGATATGTTCAGAAATGAGATATGTTCAAAAATGAGATATGTTCAGAAATGAGATATCTTAAGAAATGAGATATGTTCAGAAATGAGATATGTTCAGAAATGAGATATGTTCAGAAATGAGATATGTTCAGAAATGAGATATGTTCAAAAATGAGATATGTTCAGAAATGAGATATCTTAAGAAATGAGATATGTTCAGAAATGAGATATGTTCAGAAATGAGATATGTTCAGAAATGAGATATCTTAAGAAATGAGATATGTTCAGAAATGAGATATGTTCAGAAATGAGATATGTTCAGAAATGAGATATGTTCAGAAATGAGATATGTTCAAAAATGAGATATGTTCAGAAATGAGATATCTTAAGAAATGAGATATGTTCAGAAATGAGATATGTTCAGAAATGAAAAATTTAATTAAATGAGATAATTTTAGTGTTCATAGGAATGTGTTCATATTATTTTTTTTAAACTAAAGCCAGGCACCAAACAGTGTCTGAGAGAGAGGGTTGATCGATCCATTTTTAAAAAAATTTGAGGACCCCTTGATTCCAATTGTGATTTCAACCAATATTGGTGCAAGCCTATAAAGTTACAACTTTTTTTGGATTAAACAAAGTTCATTTACATAATAAATAGCTATAACAGACAGGGTTATGAGAAGTAGAAAAGTCGATATCCTCTAATTAAAACGGCGATATCCTCAAATTAAAATTGTGCATTAAAAAATTAAATTAGTTCTGACCTCTCCAGAATGTCCCTGGAGTTGTCACACTTGCAGAACTCCAGGAAATGTCCAGTAATGGAGAAGATGAAGTGAAGCTTCTGCTCCTTGTACTCCTTGGTCAGACCGGTCAGCTTCTCCGTCAACATCTTCTTCATGTGGATCTTCTCCATCTGCCTGTAGATGGCTTGTTTGGCTTCTTTCTCTTGGTTCTCTTTGAATTCCTGGAAATGTTGGTGAATGTTTTCATCGGCTTCAAAACATTGGTAGCAGTTATTCACTCTACATACAAGTGCACCTAAATTGTTGCATATATTACTACATACACGCGTGCATAATCGCTACATACACACGTACATAATTGCACCATACAAGCGTACATAATTGTTACATACAAGTGTACATATAATTTATATAGTAGTTTATCCTGCGCCTGTCTTGCAATAGTTTAAGTGAATAAATAAGAGATTTGGACATATGACAAAAAAGATAGATTGTGATGTGTTTAATATATTTTTTTTTCTTAAGTTTTGTGCCAAAAAAAATTAGATTGTGTTAGGGTCGGGTTTAGGGTTAGTGTTAGGTTTAGGGTTAGGGTTAGAGTTAGTGTTAGGGTTAGGGTTAGAGTTAGCTCCCAAGTCGCTCGCCTCATTTTGGTTCAAAAATGTCTAATGATAAGACCAGAGATTCAAATAGCGATCCGCTGATTCCTGCGTTCAGTCGATCAGAGAAGACCAAGACAAAAACGATTCGAGAACTATTGAAGGTAACAACTTAAAACCATTGTCTTCGTTTCTGGTGCTTAAGATTTAGATTAGTATTTGCTGTATATAAGAATACATTTTTAATGACTATTGTGCATTCTAAAATATATTTCTAATATCACTTAACAGTTCTGAAACTTCCCATGTTTATTAGTTATCACTTGATCCATTAACACAGATTGAAATAAATGGTTTGTGGTATGTAGGACGTGTTTACGTCACACTTTCCCCGTGCCGTGAACTCTGGTTGAGCCCACATTAGACGGCGTTCGTATTTAGCGTGACCTATTTCCTTTAATCTTAGCCGTTGTTTTCCACAACTTTCAACTAAAAATAACTAATATATTCTATTCGAATTTTGGGGAAACTTCGATAATTGACTAGAAAGATAAACAATGTTGAATTCTAGAAGCGTTGGTTCTACCGACGCATAGATATAAAAGGGGATTTAGAGATTCATCGGAAAGGCGGTTAGGGGGGGGGGTTTGATAGATATTTTTCACTTCATGAGATAAAGGGGTTTGATAGATATTTTTCACTTCATGAGATAAATGTATTATTCTGTGTGTATTCATATGTGTTTATTTGCATTCATCATTGTTCTTTATTAATTGGCACATTGTACTAACTGTGTACCGGTACAAGACTTCTCATACTCTGTAAGTTGATGATTGTAATTATATTTATTTTGTTTAGTAATTATAATAATACTTAAATAAATCTTATTAATTGTAATTAATACTGTTTTGAGTGTCGTATTTTTGATATTGTATTTCTCTATGATATCGTCCTTTGTTATGCACTCTTTGAAAGAGCCATAAAATTAAAATAAGAGATTAAGTTCTCAGTATAGAAGCCAGTGCGTGGCAGTTTGTACGGTTTGTGGAACTTTATGATGACATTTATTAATATTTTGGCATTGCACATAATATGAATCATAATAACTGCATGTTGACAAAGACTTGGCCAGGTAAGTTTGGGGACCAATGTATAGTTGAACCCGAAGAAAGTTGGCGCGGCCAGATAAGCGTGGGGCCAAGGGAGGGTTGAACCGGAAGAAAGTGTGCAAGGCTGAGTTTGGGACAGTTTAAGAGTAAGCTTGACACGGGAACAACGCATGGGGCGCCACGCTCCGTCACCTGGACACCCAACGGACGGACGACTTACCTTGATCTTCAGGTACTCTTTGAACTTGTCAACGTTCCTGGCCATGTACTCCTTGTACTCCTCCTGTGCGTCATCATGACGCTCCTGGCTCTTGAGCCAGTCCTTGAACTGCTCAAACAAGACTTTCTTCTGTGAGTAAAGAATTGCGGGGGGGGGGGGGTTGAGAGTGTGACATTGATGACAGCGGGTGACGTTTGTGACAATTGTGACATTATTGACCAAAGTGCGATTTATAATATTGAACACTAGTGAAATCAGTATCATCAGCAACACGTTTGACACATATGTTGACTGTTGTATTTGTCATGGTGGTGACATTGATGACAATGGTGACATCTCCGACAATTTTAAATTTGCTTTTTTTTCTTTTTTTTTTTACACGGTTGTGGATTTCTTCCCATGAAATGACTTAATATATTTGAAATAGCCCTAAGATATTATTTTTACCAGTATCATGTACATTATTTACCCGATTGGATACATCAAAAGCCTGACCAAGTGTGTGAAATGATAGAAAAGCAATGACATACTTTTATTAATAAATACTTCTTTTTTTTTTTTTTTTTTTTTTTTTTTTTTTTTTTTTTTTTTTTTTTTTTTTTTTTTAAAATTTTTTTTTTGTTTTTGTTTTTTTATAAGTTTTCTTTTTTTTTTTTTTTAATATTTTTTTTTTTTTTTTTTTTTTTTTTTTTTTTTTTTTTTTTTTTTTTTTTTTTTTTTTTTTTTTTTTTTTTTTTTTTTTTTTGTATCCCATGATGATTGAAAGACGTGTCTGGCAGTTCAGCTTTATAAATAGGTAGCTCTCTTTGTTTTTATAAATGCCTTTTTTTTCAAGAATTTAATTTTTTAAAAAGTGTTTTATTCTTTAAAATGATAAAATTTAGATTTTAATGGGGACGCAAATGCATATTCTCCAAATGCAACACCGTTACAGAGATTGCCTCCCTTGTGAAATGAACGTTTGGATAATTCATGCTTTTTTCTGTCATACTTTTTAGTTTTATTTAAATTAGTTATTTAATGGCGTTGATTAAGAAAATTAGAGAAGGGTAATATAAACAATTTAATGCATCAAAATAGACCGGTAGACCGATATACCGGTAGACCGATAGACCGGTAGACCGATAGACCGGTAGACCGATAGACCGGTAGACCGATATACCGGTAGACCGATAGACCGGAGACCGAAAGACCGGTAGACCGATAGACCGGGAGACCGATATACCGGGAGACCGACAAACCGGTATTAAGAAAATTAGAGAAGGTTAATATAAACAATATAGTGCATCAAAATAGACCGGTAGACCGATATACCTGTAGACCGATAGACCGGTAGACCGATAGACCGGTAGACCGATAGACCGGTAGACCGATATACCGGTAGACCGATAGACCGTAGACCGATAGACCGGTAGACCGATAGACCGGTAGACCGATATACCGGTAGACCGATAGACCGGTAGACCGATATACCGGTAGACCGATAGACCGGTAGACCGATATACCGGTAGACCGATAGACCGGTACAACGATAGACCGGTACACCGATAGACCGGTAGACCGACAGACCGGTACACCGGCGACCTAGAGACACAACAATGTTGAAATTGGGTGAATAATGAAAACCCCGTTCTGAAGGGGGAAAACCAAAGAAGCAAGCAATGATTGTAATTTATTTTTTTTAAAATAAGATGTCATCGGGTCCATGCCAGGAGTTGGGCTGAGTTTAAACCCCGTCAAAGAATTAACAATTGTGCGAATTCAAAAATAAAATAATAATCCAGTCATTAAAATGACCTGATGAGTATAGAAATGCGAATCTGTTGAAAGGTTTTGTAGGATTAACATGCTCTGTTGACAATGCTCGGTCCATATCTACGTGAACATAAAGAACGACTTACCTGTTCAACATCCACCGATTTCTTGTCGTCTTCAGACCCTTGAGACTTTTTCTCACCCCATCCTTTAGACTTGTCATCACCCCATCCCTTAGATTTCTTCTCATCACCCCATCCCTTAGATTTCTTCTCATCCCCCCATCCTTTGGATTTCTCATCACCCCATCCTTTGGATTTCTCATCACCCCATCCTTTGGCTTTCTCATCACCCCATCCTTTGGCCTTCTCATCACCCCATCCTTTGGCTTTCTCATCTCCCCATCCTTTGGATTTCTCATCACCCCATCCTTTGGCCTTCTCATCACCCCATCCTTTGGATTTCTCCTCTCCCGAGCCTTTGCTGCCCTCCTCACCCCAACCTTTCAGGTCTTCTTCACCCCATCCTTTCACCTCCTGTTCACCCCAACTCTTGTCAACGACATCCTTGAGCTCCTCTTTCTTCTCATCCCCCCAGCCCTTCTCCTTTATTTTGTCCTCCACCTCCGCCCACATTTTGGCAAAGTCCCCCGCCAGGACCATGGGGACTGCTAGGAGAACAATCAGTAGCCTCATCTTTAACTCCTGTACTGAAATCTGGAAAATAAATTATAAGCTATTAATAATCTAAAAATGTAGATTGGAGAGGATCAAGAACAGAATGGCCAAGACACTTCAGTGTGAATATGGCCAAGACACTTCAGTGTGAATATGGCCAAGACACTTCAGTGTGAATATGGCCAAGACACTTCAGTGTGAATATGGCCAAGACACTTCAGTGTGAATAAGGCCAAGAAACTTCAGTGTGAATATGGCCAAGACACTTCAGTGTGAATAAGGCCAAGACACTTTCAGTGTAAATAATTTATTTACTCAAATATCGTTTTCGCCGCCAAAATGATATTTTGTATCTGAGTAAAAATTAATAAAATAATTAACCGAACCCTTTGATCGCTCACATGTTTATTGTGAATTCTGCAGGATGTTTCAAAGAATAACTGCTGTATTATGTTACACCAAATGTACATATGTAGAAGCTTAATTGAAGTGAATGTACGTGAAAGCACTGTATTTAAAAGACAATTCAGTCCTGATATTGCTTGATAGGGGTTAGAGCATGGGCGCCCGCAGATGGGGGAAGGGGGGGGGGCACTTGCCCCCCCCTCCCAGATTGATTGGATAAAAATTTTTTAGACAAAAATAGACAAACAATTTATTAAAGTAAAGAGAAAATAAAGAGAAAGTAACTAAGCTGATATCCTGTCCGTTCGTTCACCATACAAATACGCTACAGTAAATTAAAACTACCTTAAAACATTACTAAAAAATTCAACCCCACACAAACAAACATCAAAATACTCCTACATCCACCCTACAGTAAATTAAACCTCCCTTAAAACATTACTAAAAAATTCCCCCCCCCCCCTAGAAAGTTAATCGATCTTTTGCCCCCCCCCCCTAGAAAGTTTTCTGCGGGCGCCCATGGGTTAGAGTGCTGAGTACTAGCACCAAGATGCTTGCAGCTGGGGGTGGTACTAGCATGATATAGTTAAGTGTGTATTTATTTCTTTTTTTGCACTTTTATCAGTTTATACATTTCAAGTTTATTCTTGGTGGAAATATTTCAAAGTGTGACCTTGACATTTGTCGATTTAGTGTCACAATTTTTAATTGACATATTTTGCTCCGTATGACGATGTTTGTATGTATGTTTGTAATGGGTGGTTCGATCACAAGGAAAATCAATCAACGGATCGCAAACAAATGTGATATGGTCATTACTCGTGACCTACAGATGGTTCCTGGAAAGTTTTGTTTAGAATCCCCTTATCTCAATAGCTGTAACTTTTTTTTTAAAAAAATCATAAAAGGTAGAGGGAAATGAGCCCAAAAAAAAAAAGTTTATTTATTTTCCTATTCAACGGCATAAGGGGACGTTCAAGTTAAGTTTATTTTTTGGTGTGCACATTCTAATGCGCCTTTATTCAGAACGGTGCGCTTTCAAACATCCGTTACATGAACGCTTTCGGTGTGCTTTTGTTGGACGCACGCGTGTTAAATACATTTTTGTGTATTCTATGTGCCCAAGAGAAATAGTACATTAGAATTATCCCATAGTTCAGGGGCGTGCATTAAGGGCGCTTTGGGGCATCTAGACTTTTACAGTCATGGGTTTTCTTTTAGTAAATTTATTACCAACTTTATTTTAGAGTAGATGTGTGTGTGTGTGTGTGTGTGTGTGTGTGTGTGTGAGTGTGTGTGTGTGTAAGGGGGGAATCGTATTTTTGTGATTTAGTCACTCATCAGCGTGTCGTAAAACTACGTCACTGAATGTGTGTGTGCATTGTATGAGGATAGCCATGCCTCAAAGGTGTTGTGTTACACACGGAACTATTGTGTTACACACGGAACTATTGTGTTACACACGGAACTATTGTGTTACACACGAACTATTGTGTTACACACGGAACAATTGTGTTACACACGGAACCCATTGTGTTATACACGGAACTATTGTGTTACACACGGAACCCATTGTGTTACACACGGAACAATTTCAGTCCATAGGAGACTTCACTGTTTAAAATTATTTTTTGTACATTTAGTAAAAGATTCTTCATTTCCAAACAAAATTAGTTAGTCTAATTATTTTATGTTGACGTCAGATATTGACTCGGCAGTGTTCAAGGTGTCTTTTTTATGTTTCTTTTGTTCCTATAAGTCTCCATGTTTCTTTTGTTCCTATAAGTCTCCGTGTTTCGTTTGTTCCTATAAGTCTCCATGTTTCTTTTGTTCCTATAAGTCTCCATGTTTCTTTTGTTCCTATAAGTCTCCATGTTTCTTTTGTTCCTATAAGTCTCCATGTTTCTTTTGTTCCTATAAGTCTCCTTTGTTCCTATAAGTCTCCATGTTTCTTTTGTTCCTATAAGTCTCCATGTTTCTTTTGTTCCTATAAGTCTCCATGTTTCTTTTGTTCCTATAAGTCTCCATGTTTCTTTTGTTCCTATAAGTCTCCGTGTTTCTTTTGTTCCTATAAGTCTCCATGTTTCTTTTGTTCCTATAAGTCTCCATGTTTCTTTTGTTCCTATAAGTCTCCATGTTTCGTTTGTTCCTATAAGTCTCCATGTTTCTTTTGTTCCTATAAGTCTCCGTGTTTCTTTTGTTCCTATAAGTCTCCGTGTTTCTTTTGTTCCTATAAGTCTCCATGTTTCTTTTGTTCCTATAAGTCTCCATGTTTCTTTTGTTCCTATAAGTCTCCATCATTTCCACAATGGTTTCACAATCAGATTTAACGTTCCAGATGTGTGTAGGAGGTTGTACAATGGATTTTCCTTGGTCAAAGCACCGCACCATATAAAATTGATGCATCTTGGCCACACTTGGTAAAAATTAACCATTTTTACGATATTGGAGAGTTTCAAAATAATATTATCGTAAAGTTTTTGAAGAGGTTCCCCTTTGTCAACAGATTGTTCCCCTTTGTCAACAAAGTGTTCCCTTTTGTCAACAGATTGTTCCCTTTTGTCAACCGATTGTTCCCCTTTGTCAACAGATTGTTCCCCTTTGTCAACAGATTGTTCCCCTATGTCAACAGATTGTTCCCCTTTGTCAACAGATTGTTCCCCTATGTCAACAGATTGTTCCCCTTTGTCAACAGATTGTTCCCCTTTGTCAACAGATTGTTCCTCTTTGTCAACAGATTATATTGCGCTGAAATAAGCTGTGTATGTTATTCAACCTAAAAATGTAAAAGATTATTTAGCTCTTTTTTTGTTCTATAAAGAAAATATTACGCTTAATCTAGACGAAACGTGCTGCATATGCACTTCAAAATATTTAATGAAGAAAACTGGAGGGTTTTGAACTCGTAATAATCACATCTGTCGGGGCCAGGCCTACTTATTTCATGTTCCTAAGCTATAACTCTGACGTTTTTCAACCGATTTTAATGGGGCAGCTTTTAATTATTCTTTTTTAGTGTTCCTATTTTTCTGATTATTTATTTAGAGTCCCTATCTTAGTGATAATTAAAAAGTCACATTATAGAACGGATCCCCACAGGGGAACTCATTTAACCTTTAATGAAAACTATAGAGTTAGGACATTTTATTTTAATGTTTTAGTCGTGAGATAATGACGTCATAAATACACTAATGTTTAGTTACACATTATTTTAACGTTTAAAAAAAATATGCATACACATAAAATTTCTCGGGCAGCACGTTTTGTCCTAAACCGCTACAGGAACACATTCTGGTGTTGGCAGCATGCTGGAAACACTAGGCTGGTCACCATTGGAGGAACGGCGACAATTTTCAAGGCTCTCCTTTGTGTACAGGATAAATAATGGGCTGGTCAATTGCTCTAGCATTAAACAGAAACTCGACCCTCTGCCCCCTAGACAGCGACAAGGCCATGACAGGCAGTCCCGGCTCATAACACCAAGAACACAGTACAGAAACTTCTCATTTCTGCCAAAGACAATCAAGGACTGGAAAAAGCTTCCAAAAAGGACAAGTATAGGCGACAACACTTGACATATTTGCGTCTACCGCCTCGGGCCTTCCAAACCCCAATTCAGGATACCCTCGCTGAGCAGCCCTTGCAACCAGTCATATCCTCTTCATTACCAGGCACAGAAACATTGCAAATTCTATCTACATACATAGGAGCCAGATTGATCAATTCATTGATCGTGGGCCCTTAATATACAGTAAAGAAGACCTTGCATTTGTTGCATACAACTAAACTGTCACAATCACTGATACGTTACAACACAACATTTTTGTTTTTACCTGATGTCAAATATGTCCGATGTCGTGTCGCAAGAGATCGCACCCTGAACAAGTCTGAGCAACAGTAACTGGCAGACAACTGGAGCCCCCCAGCGTTATTTTATACACAATCATTGTTGATTTTAACATTTTAAAGAAAGCACCCCAAAATTGGTATTTGCACATTAAGTAAGTAGGGTACAACGGGTGGGAGTGGGTGTGAGGGTGGGTTAGGGCGTAGATGTACCACAGTACGGGCATTTGCCCGAGTTCCATGGGGGGGGCGAGGGGTGGGGGGAGTTATCAAGTTGTAGAAACATGTGATATGTAAACACTGGGTTGCAATTCAGCTTTATACAATTTACTGTCTTCAAAAAAAGTCCTCGACTGTAAGAGAATTATTTTTTTTTTTAACTTCAACTTCCAAAGAAATTTTTTAAAACAAATATGAAAAAATTGGGTTGTCACGAGCCTCTCCACTCCTTTTCCCTGTGAACTCTGGGGCAGGGGCGGAACTACAGTGGGAGAAACTCTTGGAAAATGTCCCACCCGGACTTAATTAATCTATTTAAAAAAACAACAACAAAAAGAAATAAAGTTATGTTTAAGTATAAAGAAAAGACACACTATGTCCCGTGTCATCTTAATCCCAATGGCTATGTGAATGGGGCGCTTTGTCCTTTTAAGACACCATGTCATATATTTACACCTGTCATCTAATGACATCATGTATTTGTGCCACCATGTCATTTTATGACACCATTCATTTGTGACACCCTGCCATTTTATGACACCATATACTTGTGACACCATGTCATTTTATGACACCATATACTTGTGACACCATGTCATTTTATGACATAATGTCACACTTTTACACCTGTCATTTACTGACACTATGTATACGTGACACCATGCCACATTTTTCACCTGTCATTTAATGATACGATGTCATTTCTGTGATGCCATGTATTTTGAATACCCAATTAATGACCCATGCTTCTTCCGCCCTGCCACTTTTTTTGTTTAACCTACCTTGTTTCCTTCCCTGTGTTCCAACCTCACAGTTTTCGCTTTCCATCATAGCTCAGGCATCCATTTATCGTCTGATCCTGCTACATTTATGCGTCCACCCGTTTCCTTGTAATGAAGCTCCGCCACTGCCCTCAAAGGCTCACTTTCCTCGCCTCTGTTTAAGCTGTTTGCACTGGCGCGCGTGATTTCACCGACCGTGGCGGTCTCCTCCGCCGCCTTTCTGTTATTTGATTGGGTCTGTTTGCTCGGTGGTGACCAGGCACATTTTAGTGTAAGAACATTCCGGCCTTCCAGCTCGTGTCAGGAATATTTCTATATCCAGGCTTTGTCGTGACTCTGAGAGCGACATATAAGTTGGTCATCACGCAATATTTCCACCCAATGTTCTTTCCTTTTTCATAAGACTGAAATGTGAGGAAAATCCCTTGACGGTGTGATGATGAGGTCATCAATTGCGCTGCTCCCATCACGACGAGATAATTTTAGCCATTGAGAGCAGTGTCCTACTTTGTGTATGTACTGGCGGTGAGATATGGCAAAATGAGTTGCCGATTTTCTTTACTTTAAAGCCGACTTCTGGTTACAGTTATTACAGACATTAGTTTGTTTTTTTTTGTACAATTCTCCCCTGCCATACATGTGAACTTTGAGAGCAAATTTGATTTTTTGTTACATTTATTGCAGTCCTTTTTTTTTAAAAGTAGAATTCTCCTCTGCTATACATGTGCACTGTGAGACCTAATTTCATTTCTTGTTACATTTACTACAGTCCTTTGTTTTTAAAGTAGAATTCTACCTTGTTACACATGTGAACTTAAACACCTAGTTCGATTTCTGGGTAAAGAATATTGGTATAAAAAACACTTTTCTTTTTTCTCTGAGTTAGTTACAATTTGATAAAATATTCACCAACCAACTGGGGCAACGCAGCCATTTTACGTGTGGAAAATACGACAAGAGATTCGTTATCTATAATAATAATTCCAGATGGTGCTGCATATATCCACCGATGCTCATTTGTATTGTCTCTATAAATATTAGGTAGTGACTGGTATTGAAGCATTTTTCGTTTAGTTTTGGTGGCTACTGGTGGCGTTTTAGTAGGGTATGTACGTGTACTGACACCGTGCTAGTTTGTTTTTTTTCTCTGTGCATTTGTGAACTGTACGTGATCAAGCGCACGAGGGGGGAAGCAGCGAATGAGGGCGCATCACGGTGCGCAATGAAAGCAGGGCGGGCAAGATCCACTCGGAAATTATTATTATTATTGTAGACAGCCTACAGTGCAAAGTAGGTCTAATTAATTTCATGTTTTTTTATTATAAATAACGTGTCAATACCAGCATAGTTCGTGTTTTAGCTTTAAAATAAAATTAATAATAATAAACTAACTTTGTCAATCATAAAAATGTTCTTGGGTTTCTTGCACTATTTTCAATTGAATTATGTGTACAGTGTCGCCTCTTAACCACAAAACACCATTTCTTTAATCTTATAATTAACAGGCTCACTATGATTTTCGTCCGTTGAATTATTTGCCGAGATCAGGTAATTATTCACATTAAAGTAATGCTCTCAGGTAAAAATAGCATACGTCATGCCGGACGATGAGTCAGCGCTCTCACACCAGAAATGAAACGTCTGCCTGCAGTGCGCACTATAAGCGAAACGAACAAAGAGAGATCCTCAATCGAAGGGTGTTGTACTTTTAGAGTGTTTCACGTAATGGTCTCATTACTAAACTACCTGAAGTCCTAAGAGCTTCAATGACCAGTGATTACATGAGATACGATGTTGTTGCCGAGAGTGCGGCTACGGTTGTCAAGATGTTTCGTGAAGTCAAATTTTGAAGTTTTTTTTATTTTAATACTCTGTTAAATTAATAAAGCTATAACTCATTGTTTATACAATGAAACTTGTTCCCCTTATTGTAAATGTGACATGATGTATAGCTTAAATTTAAAAAAAAATAACTATTAACGAAATAATAAAATCAAATAAATCTTCACCCAACGGCAGTGGCGGTCATCCCAAAAGGCTTCGCTGGCCACTTTGACAGCGAGTAAATCGTTCACTGGCCACTTTGAAAGCGAGTAAACCGTTCACTGGCCACTTTGACAGCGAGTAAACCGTTCACTGGCCACTTTGACAACGAGTAAACCGTTCACTGGCCACTTTGACAGCGAGTAAACCGTTCACTGGCCACTTTGTCAGCGAGTAAACTGTTCACTGGCCACTTTGATAGTAAGTAAACCATTCACTGGCCACTTTGTAGTGAGTAAACCGTTCACTAGCCACTTTGACAGCAAGTAACCCATTCACTGGCCACTTTGACAGTTAGTAAACCGTTCACTGGCCACTTTGATAGTGAGTAAACCGTTCACTGACCACTTTGATAGTGAGTAAACCGTACACTGGCCACTTTGACAGCGAGTAAACCGTTCACTGGCCATTTTGATAGTGAGTAAACCGTTCACTTGCCACTTTGATAGTGAGTAAACCGTTCACTGGCCACTTTGACAGCGAGTAAACCGTTCACTGGCCACTTTGTCAGCGAGTAAACTGTTCACTGGCCACTTTGATAGTAAGTAAACCATTCACTGGCCACTTTGTAGTGAGTAAACCGTTCACTAGCCACTTTGACAGCAAGTAACCCATTCACTGGCCACTTTGACAGTTAGTAAACCGTTCACTGGCCACTTTGATAGTGAGTAAACCGTTCACTGACCACTTTGATAGTGAGTAAACCGTACACTGGCCACTTTGACAGCGAGTAAACCGTTCACTGGCCATTTTGATAGTGAGTAAACCGTTCACTTGCCACTTTGATAGTGAGTAAACCGTTCACTGACCACTTTGATAGTGAGTAAACCGTTCACTGACCACTTTGATAGTGAGTAAACCGTTCACTGGCCACTTTGACAGCGAGTAAACCGTTCACTGGCCATTTTGATAGTGAGTAAACCGTTCACTTGCCACTTTGATAGTGAGTAAACCGTTCACTGGCCACTTTGACAGCAAGTAAACCGTTCACAGGCCACTTTGATAGTGAGTAAACCGTTCACTGGCCACTTTGACAGCGAGTAAACCGTTCACTGGCCACTTTGACAGTGAGCAAACCGTTCACTGGCCACTTTGACAGCGAGTAAACCATTCACTGGCCACTTTAATAGCGAGTAAACCGTGTGCGGGCCGCGTGATATTACGGCATGGCTTAAAATATTGAAATAAAACAGCCACCCACTCAGGGGCGTAGCAAGAGTGTTCGGCGCCCGGGGACCAGATTCACTCTAAAGCGGCCCCCTTTTCTTTTTTCAACTCTCTAACCCATTACTTTCATCAATAAAATAATGGCAAAGCACATTTTGGCGCCCCTAACTAGCTGGCACCTGGGGACATCTGGCCCCCTCCCTTCGCTATGCCTCTGCACCCACTAAATGCTAAATAGAATTGTTTACCAATTCTTAATGCACAGATTGAAATGCTAAAATAACAAAGCGGAATAAAACGGAACTAATGTGATTAAATTGTATCTTTTCTCTCACTTAACTTTTTGAAGTCGATTTCAAAATCAAAATCAAAACAAGGAAGTAAATAAAATAAGATTCTTTTATTAATTCAAATATTAGTATTCGATTTCATCACATAAATAAATACATACGGAGACAAAATTTTACAGTTATAATAATTTTGAAACAAGACATCTAAAGTATTTCTCTGGCGTATCAATCAGCCATAAAAGACTCATTGAGTGACAATAATGACTTATTAAGTGAGAATTTAGAGTTGGTAACCGGTGGGGAGCACGCTGGTAAATTCGTACAGACGGGGGATCGAGCTAATCTGAGGTATCTGTGATAAAAGAGGATGGGATCTAACAAATTTTTTTTGGCTTTTTTCAGTTTTCCATCTGCATTTTTCTTCAAATAGTTCACCAAGTGAAGGTAGTTTGTTTTGTGTGATATTACTTGCTTCCTTTATAAGTCTATTTAATCGGTGTTGAATGCGGTACCACATCAGATGGTAATACTGAAGGTTAGTTGGCCTCTGGAGCGGTGT